AGGAGGCGGAGGTTGCGGTGAGCCGAGATCGCGCCACTGCACTCCAGCCTGGGTAACAAGAGCGAAACTCCGTCTCAAAAAAAAAAAAAAAAAAAAAAATGAGTGCACACTTGGATATTGCTTTATCAAAATGCTATAAAACACTCTAAAAGCTTACACTCAATTTTTGTATTTATCTCACCACTAAACAGGAACAGCTAGGTCATAGACCAGCAGTGGCCTGTAAACCATACCTTAAATAACATTATAAGTGATCTTTATGGTCCATTTATTTTTTTATTTTTATTAATATTTTATTTTTTCCTTAGATCATGATAGACCAGTAACGGTCCATTTATTAAGTAAAAATCTTGATCTTGGTGGTTCATGCTTACAATCCCAGCACCTTGTGAGGACAAGATGGGAGGACTGCCTGAACCCAGGAGTTTGAGACCAGCCTGGGCAAAACTATGAGATGCCATCTCTATAAAAAAAATTTCTTTTGGCTGGGCGTGGTGGCTCATGCCTGTAATCCCAGCACTTTGGGAGGCAGAGGAAGGCAGATCACTTGAGGTCGGGAGTTCAAGACCAGTCTGACCAACAATGGAAAAACACGGTCTCTACTAAAAATACAAAATTAGCCAGGAATGGTAGCAAATGCCTATAATCCCAGCTACTCAGGAAGCTGAGCCAGGAGAATTGCTTGAACCCAGGAGGCGGAGGCTGCAGTGAGCCAAAATCATGCCACTGCACTCCAGCCTGGGCAACAAGAGCAAAACTCCATCTTGGGGGGAAAATATATATTTTTTAAAAAGAATTTTGATCTTTCTCACACTGATACTGTATTTTCTTTCTGCTTCCCAGAGAACAAGTCTTTTGATTTTAATTACACTTTAAATTGTTTAGTTTGTTATAAAAATATTATGTTCACTGTAGAATAGTTTAAAAATTCTGTAAAGTTTAGAAGAAAATAAAAGTCATATGTAATCCCAGCACCTACAGATCACTTAACATTTACATATATCATTTGTAGTGAGGCATGAGCCACCATGCCCAGCCTACAGTTTTTACGTAATGTTATATTACGTCTTTTGTTATATAGTGTGTTCTTCTCATATACTAAGACATTATTTTATTTTATTTTATTTATTTATTTTTGAGATGGAGTCTCACTCTGTTGCCCAGGCTGGAGTGCCGCAGCACAATCTTGGCTCACTGCAACTTCTGCCTCCCGGGTTCAAGCAATTCTCCTGCCTAAGCTTCCTGAGTAGCTGGGATTACGGGTGCGTGCCACCACATCTGGCTAATTTTTTGTATTTTTAGTAGACAGGTTTTCGCCATGTTAGCCAGGATGGTCTTGATGTCCTGAACTGGTGATCTGCCTGCCTAGGCCTCCTAAAGTGCTGGGATTACAGGTGTAAGCTACCATGCCCAGCCTAGGACGTTATTTTAAAAGGGAAATAGCCGGGCACAGTGGCTCACACCTGTAATTCCAGCACTTTGGGAGGCCAAGGCAGGTGGATCACAAGGTCAGGAAATCAAGACTAGCCTGGCTAACACGGTGAAACCCCATCTCCACTAAAAATACAAAAAATTAGCCA